TTCCTAAGATTGAATATGCAAAAGGAGAAGAATGTGTATGAAAGCTGAATATTCTTTTTCTTTTTAGGTTCAAACAAATACTTTTTAGGAAGAACCAGCTCATATTTTGCTTATGGTAATAAATAAATATAATGGCAATAAAATGAGCCCTTCCACACTGAACATTTACTTTATGGTAAGCACTGTGTTAGGTGCTTCATGAACATGATTATATTTTGTTAACAGTAGGTACTATTACCCTGATTTTGCAGATAAAGAAATTGAAACTCAGAGAAAGAGAAAGTCACTTGTCGCAGGTCATAAATCTTATATTAAAAAGGGCTAGGATTTCAGTTAAGTCTTTCTGAATTCTGACTCTTTATTTTCCTTTAAAACTAAAAAAAACCCATTTCTAATTATGGTAAAACTGACACCTCATTATTTTTTTTTAAGTTTAGCTGATTTTTTAAAAAATATAATTTATTGTCAAATTGGTTTCCATACAACACCCAGTGTTCATCCCAACAAGTGCCCTCCTCAATGGCCATCACTCACTTTCCCCTCTCCCCTTGGGTAAATTCCTAGCAGTGCTATTGCTGGGTCATAGAGCAGTTCTATTTTTAATTTTTTGAGGAAACTCCCCACTGTTTTCTAGAGCAGCTGCACCAGTTTGCATGACACCTCATTCTTAAACACTTTGACTTTCTACTTAGAAAACATTAAGGTGTCAAGCTTTTTGTTTTTTCACTAAGCTCTATATATTTAAAATGAAAATTGAGGGAAAATGATATAAAATACATAGAAAATAAAAATGGGTGGAAAACCTGTTTCAACTAAAAAGTAAAGTATGTGATATCATTTTAAAAAATAGTAAACTGGCAAATTTTGCAAAGGGACTGAAATACTATATAGCTAACATGAATAAAAGGGATTCCACATTGGATAATTTGAATCAAATTAAAATAAATTAATTTAATTGTTTTTAAAGTACATGATACATTCCTAAGTTAGACTGGGAATTGCTGAATTATCATTCAGTTATTTATGAACCCTCTTTTATCTTACATACTGTGCTTCTAAGTCACTAGTCTAAGCTCTATATTTTACTTTCATTGCTCTCCATTCAAATCTCCTAAAACAATCTTCCCTGAATTCAAACTTCTCTGGCACCCATATGGTAAAATAGTAGTTCTCAAAAGCCGAGCATTGTTTTTGTCACACTAGAATCATCTGGGGATGCAAATCTTTAATGGAAAGTAATTAATGAATTAATGTATTCATTTATGGATGTGTATTTTTATTGTGATGTACCAAGCTTCTATAATAATGTAGATAAATAGGGAGAATTTATGGATCTTGTGATGTTGATTGAAATGATATGTTGGCAATAAAATATTTCAGTGCAGTTTGAGGGCATAAATTCCTTCCTAAAGCTTATTAGCTATACTTGAGTTAAATAAAGTGAGCAGTTGAAGTGTACAGGCTAAAATTGGAAGAAAAAGCTCTAGAGAAAACATTTAAAGTAAAGTAATATTTAAAGTAACAACACTGCTAGGAATTTACCCAAGGGATACAGGAGTACTGATGCATAGGGGCACTTGTACCCCAATGTTTATAGCAGCACTCTCAACAATAGCCAAATTGTGGAAAGAGCCTAAATGTCCATCAACTGATGAATGGATAAAGAAATTGTGGTTTATATACACAATGGAATACTATGTGGCAATGAAAAAGAATGAAATATGGCCTTTTGTATCAACGTGGATGGAACTGGAGAGTGTGGCTAAGTGAAATAAGCCATACAGAGAAAGACAGATACCACATGGTTTCACTCTTATGTGGATCTTGAGAAAC